CCACGATACATATCTCCCCTCACACACCCCCAACACGCACACTCACTCCAACCTTAACACCTAGCAAACATAGTTTCCTACAAGGAGGAACCAATCATTCCAAAATATTTCTTCATGCATTTTCTACTTAAAAGTGATTGATCAGGCAACTAGGGTTAAATTTGTTGGTGTTTCTGATATCAGAGGCCAGAGGCAATGGGAAAGCTAGAGAGAATTAAGAGTGTAGAATGGAAGAGGTAATAGCTTGAGCTTGTTCAGAGTTTAAGGGTTTCTCAAATAAAATGAATCTTCAAAATGAAACTATCGTTTCATATGCTGAAAGATTTCTAAGAGACACAATCCGACGACAAAGAGTATCCAAGGCATGTCAAAGCAAACGATATTCAATGGGTCCACAGGTTGAATCAAAAATATCAATTCCATCAAAGGCATCTTTTGAGGGTCATAAGAATAGTAGAATCACTTGAGGGCGGAGGTCTTTATGCTCTTAAAGACAGGTGAACTTGAATTGATTAATAATTCGGATTACATGCTGCGGATTAAGAGACTTGGAGTGCTATCAAAAAAGGTCTGTGATCCATATAGCTCGTATGCAAGCCAACTTTGGTGGCATAGAAGCCAACTATCAAATTGGTTCAGTCAAAATTAAAGAACAAAGGCTTGCATACTTGCAAGAGGCTTTACAGCACCAAATATGGGCAAATGCCAAGTTGGGGAATGTTTTGAAGAGGATGCAATAGATGTGTAAATCATATGTTGTGCATTTTTTTTATCAGGTGACTCATATATGCCCTTTTTTTACATGGAGAGAGAAGACTCTCACACATATTTCTTAATGCAGTGAAAAAAAAGCTCGAGCAGTCAAAAAACTACACATATTTCTTTATGTGGAGGAAAAATTATATGCTACAAATTTTTATACGGCTAGGTGGAGACTCCGTGCCTTTTTAGTATAGAGGATGGAAGATCCTCGGCTATGATGTCTTAGGACACCGATCATGCAGGCATTTCTTGACATTGTGAGCAGAGGCCCAACAATCCCCAATGATGTCGTAGGACTACAAAAATTCTCAGAAAATGCAGCTCAAAAAGAACAAAATGAAAGAGACCTTTTAAAGGGTAACTAAACAATAAAATAAAAATTATTGCAACAATGAATACTTCAAATGCAGTATTTATTGCATCAATCGAATTTAACATGACTTTTCAATGAACATTTTGACTATGCTATATTTTGCATTAAAAGAATTAAAAGAACTTGGAATTAGACAAAAAGACTTATAGAGGGCACAATAAATTCCCCGCAAATAAGAATGGGACTCGACAGCTTGCCAAACGAGCACAAACAGGTCATTTCATTGACTTCCAT